AAAAAAATATTTCAAACTATGTGAACTTTGATCCCCATCATAGAGTACGTAAGTCTTAAGCTTTGATTCTAGGTCAAGTCCTCTCATGTAAATAAATAATTTATTTTTCTCTATTTTTTATCTTTTTTTTTTCATGTGGAATAAAGAGTAATTAAGATATTATTAAAAGGTCAATTAAGTTACTTAATCAAATTAGGGTAACCGTTCTTATGAACGGGTGTCGTGAGTGTCTAACACTTTTCCTATACACAACCGACTCCTGAACTCTTTTTGTAGAGTATCTTTTTTCATTATATAGTTTTTCAAGGTTTTCCTAAAAGCTTTGATGGCGACTTGCATTTTCCTACATTTATCGACCTTCCCTCATCGGGGAGAACACGATCTGGGTAGACAATGGATAATTGGGATAATTGCATTTTGTTTAAGATATAAGGATTATCTATTAGGCATATTTGAATGAGGATTTTATCCATTAGCATAAGAAGAAATGGTTCAATCATCTTATTTTGATTTCTTAAACTGTAAGATCCATGAATCAGGATCCTAATACATATAGATACAAATGGTCTAATAGAGCAATAATTTTTAAGAACATTTGGAACATTTCATTTTTGAGCAAAATAGATGTTTCCAAGTAGTGTTTGATCGATTACGTATTAATCAATATTCAATTGATTAGTCTGAGGTTGTTGACAAAAAAGATTTCTCTATTTATTATTTTATTTTATCATTATCTTAGATTCATTATATGTCTACTAAAATAAAATATTAGCATCCCATCAGTATTTTTAAATTAGATTTAGGATTTAGGATTTAGATTTATCATTTTAGTATTCTCTTATTATTTTTAGAACTCTATTAATAGACCAAGCGAAGGTTTTCATTTGTATTCAATTTTTGAATATTATTAAATAGAATTTTTTAGAATTGCGTCCTTTCACTCCTTCTCTTTCTCTCTCATTTCTATTCTCTCTCTCCTTCTCCTTTATCTGTCTCTCTCTTTCCCTCTTCCCTTCTTGTTTTATGTTAATTGGTTCGAGAACTAGATTCCTACTTCTCTTTCATGTGTTACTTTTATTTAAAATCCATAAAATACCCAGACCTTCCTTGAAGTTGTAGATCATCATGAATAATTTTTAAGGGGTAACTTTCACATTTATATTCTTAACTTATTATGTTTTATTTTCATCATTGTCTATGCAAGGAGTGTTAAAATTATTATGGCACCCCACCTTAATTTGTTGAGCTTCAGCAATATCATGAAAGTTATTGAGGACAAAAAAAATAAAAGAATGACGCTAACATTAACATTAGTATGCATATAACCAATAGTGTGAACGAAAAATTAACATCAACTACTAATCACTAATAATCATTCAAAACAACATTTCCAACTTCTAAATTTCCCACTTTAATAGCAAATTTTTCAACTACAAGCTAGATCTCTTATCCAATGAGTTTACTAATTTTCATTAATTTCATTTAGTTTCCATTAACTCAATTAATCACTAATAAAACATTCAACAATTCAAAATCATCCCTTAAAGGCCTAAAGTTCATCCAAAATTGACCCAAACTCATAATCTTGTAAAAACTTGAGTTAGGTGTAAAATGCTTAAACAACTCTTATTAGTTTTATTTAGATCAATGGCTTCAAATCTATAACTCTAGGTCAGAAAATCACACTCTTCCAACCTTAAATCTTACTTCTAAAACTTGTAGAGAGAAGAAGAGGGAGTGGGGAGGACATACCTAGATAGAATTAAGCTCAAAACACTTTCCCAGTGCTCAAAATTGTTGTCTGAATAGAGCTCTTACTTTCTCTCGTTGCTCTCTTGTTGCGCTTCGTAAGTACATGAGTCATGACAAGTAATACAGAATGAGTAAAGTATTGTTTGCATGAAAATTTATATTAAAAATATTGTCAAATAAAAGACATTACGAATTCAATTAAGTTGAGCAAATCTAAAGTATGATTGGTGTTTAAAATATAAATCAAATGTGTGAAAAAGTATGAAAACACAGAAAAGAAATTGATTCAAGACTTTTTGAAAATAATTAGGGCTAGGATTATTTATCCCCCTTTATACTTCTAGAATACTCAATCAACTTTTAATATATTTTGCTCTTAATGATGAGTTACACTAGTTAAGGATACTAAATTACCCACAAGTGCTTTCTCAAGTCTCCAAGTAGGTGTTTAGTTTAATTAATCCCTTAATCTCTTAATTAACTAATTAAACTCCAATTTTCATTGCAAATCTATATGACTATGTGAGGTTAATTAGTGTATCTCTACTTTATCAATAAAATCATACATTCAACTTGCAAACTTTAAGTTCTCACACAATTTAACTCAAGTTCTACACTCAACTTAGCTCTCCCAAGCATCAATCAAGTGAACCTTGCAATTTAATTGATGGCCAATCAACTAGAAGCATTAAGTATAAAGTAAAATCAATATAATCATGTCATTAATCACAAATACAAAAGAAAAATAAGTATTTAATTCACATAAAGGGTTCAAAATAATTATAGAATCAAGGGTTTATCTACAAATGTTCATAAAATCCATAAGAAAAACAAATATACCACCACAAACATTAAATAAGAGGAAAGGAAGGAGAATGGAGAAAAAAAAAAGATATGAAACTAAAATCTCTTCTAGTCTTCAAATCCAAGCTCAATCTTCACTAAAATTCATGCCCTGACACACCTAAAGTGTCTAAATACTCCCAAGAAGTCTAGAATACAGGCTAAATTCGAGAATGGGTTATATATACTCCACAACCCTAACTTTATTAGCTAAATAAAATATTTTTTTTAGCTGTTACCTTTAAAAGTCTCACACAAAGTCACATCATTGGTCACAACTTTACTCTATTTTGTACACTTCTCCCAATTAGAGTGACTAATCATCTTTTCATAATTTCTTCATCTAAAAACCTTCCAAAAGCATCATGCAGGATCTAGAAATGCATCCAACCAAGCCTTAAACTAAAATATCAATAATTTAGCTTCAAAATACCAAAACAAAGCCATGGTTTGAATTTTCAAAACAATATGCACATTTTTCTAACTTGTATTCAAAATATATACAATTGTGCCAAAATATATTAAAAATCCAAGGAAAATACGCTCAAATGACACAAAATTCTAGATGTTAACATCTTTCTTTCCTTTTCTTTCTTTGTTTTGCAACTTGCATTTATGAGTGTAGCTTTAAATTTTTTTATCTTTTTGTAGCGGTGCATGGTGCCTTTTGCAGTGATAGATGGCACAAAATGATTTTTTTAGAAATTTATATTTTTTTGAAAAAATAAAATTATAAAATAAATTTAATGAGTTTTATTGGCATGCATAAATTTATCTAAAATTACCTTATAATTTGAGATAGATAGAGTATATCTCTTCTCTATGTATTCATGAAAAATAGAGATTTAAAACTTTATCATGTAATTAATCAGGAGTATCGAAGTTAGTATCAATTATTATCAAAATATTGTACAAAAGCAATTGTGTTGACACTATTGTTATTATTAACTTTCAATCCATTTCAACACATACCCTATCTCCTTCAACTTTGTCAAGGACTTAGCACTAGCTTCCAAAAATGTCACTGTCATGAGTTTCATGTCAGAAGTCTCACAAGTGAAGTGAAGTTTTTAAGTATAAGAGGTTTTTCTATCTAAATATAGGTTACTCTTTTGACATGGATTCTCCCTTATAGAAGGTTGATATCTTAGTCATGATAGCACTCAATTAAACTAAAATTGACTTAATGTAACATATACAGGTCAATCCTAGGTCATTCTTTTTAAGAAGCAATTTACAAGTTATCTTAAGTTGGCTCTATGTATTTAATTACTAAAGCCAAATAAAATCTAAAACTAAGTGTTATATTTTTACACTAAAATGCAAATTATGCAATTAAAACTATCTAGATGGATGCTGATACTTATGTCTAACATCTAAACTTTATTATGCAATGTATAACTCTTAAATTATGATTGAGGGGTTTGTTTCAAGAGAATTGAAATGCCAACTAAAGAAATTAATTAAATGATCAAAAGGATTAATAAACCCAAAATTAAGAAAAATTTGATTTAACAGTGGTAAATGGAATAACTTTGGACTTTACATGGAGTTAAATTTTTTACCCCAATTCAATTAATGAGACCAAAGAGAAATGATAGGAGAGTGAAATTAATAATTTTAATTACCTAATTAAAGCAAAGAGAACTCTTAAGCACAAAAGCCTAACACTTAAATCATTAAAGAACTTATAATGACTCAAGTGCTATAACAATGAATTAGACCAATTAAATCCATTAAAATCAATGACAATTAATTCAAAATAAATCTAAAAGATACATTTAAATTATCTAATTAAAAAACCAAACAAATTACCAACTATATTGAACAATTAAGAGGTAAAATGAATAATCCAAATTTGTAACAAACACCACATCATAGTAGCAATTAAATTAATAATGAGAACTCAATCATTAATCTAATTGAAAAAAGCAAGGGTTATATAAATATAAATTCCAACAAGTCATTTAACACAAATTCAATCTAAATACTCATTCAATTTGAAATTTAAAATATTTATAGTCTAGATTAGCAAAGGATTTAGCAAGAAAATTGATCCCTTACTAAATATATTTATATTTAAAAATAATCACCTAATATCGTATCATTCCATATCATCTCATGTCATGTCACTTGGCCTGTTTGCATCAACTAATGCAACGATATAAAATGTTTTTTATATTTAGTTTTTATATTGGTTAAAAAAATATAGGTGTAGAAAGCGCGGTGATAATTTTATAAATAAGTTATAATCGGGTGGATTTTTTTACCGTGATTCTATTTTTAACGGGTATAAAAAGTGGTAGGTTTAGACGTGACACACCGGCTCCTTTTCTGACGGGCATAAAATCAATTTTTATTTTTCACTCATATGTCTCACAAGCAAAACCTCTTGAGCTTTTTCATGGGTCCTTCCATCTTCTCTTCCTATCATCTTTTCTACGTACCGATGCTCTCACCTCCACCTTAGCACCATCCTCTCCTCCTTCTTGCCGAGTTCGTTGGGCTGGTTGGTTTTGCAAATCAGTAGTTAGTCGCCTGTAATGTTTCCATCATTATCTCTTTTCTTATCGTTTGCCGCATTTATCATGTTGTCTCTCTCACGTCTCATCTACTCTCAGTTCGAAGCGTGCATTTGTTCTTCAAAGTTAGGGTTCAAGTTTGTCATATGATTGGATGGAACAGATTGGTCTTCTAAAGCTTTTCGTTTTTTGTTTTTGCTTGGTAAATTACTTTTGTCTTTGCCACTTCAATTTGATGGAATCGGCGGTCGTGTTCAGGATACAGTTTATTATAAGGCCGTCATTCTCTTTATTGAAAAATGTTTTGTTCCCTCAAGATATACACACTCACACACGCGCATGAAGATCTTGCATTTATATATCTTCATTGTTTCTTGTTTATAGACTGCTTTGAGCTGACTCTGTGTCCGTTCCAGTAAACATTATGAGCTTATGATGTAAAACACAAATACCACACCCCACCAATTTATACCCATGAAAATGTTGTGTACATGTTAATCATGCTTCTTGGCATTTGAATTTAAATTTACCTAAAAAGTAAATAGTTCTGTCTAATTTTAATTATATATAACATACTTAATACAACAACAACAACAACAAGCCTTTATCCCACTAGGTGGGGTCGGCTACATGGATTGCAAGACGCCATTGTGCTCTATCATTTATTAAGCTTTTAGAAATATTATTAATTAAGAGATCACGTTCAACAACTTCCAAGAGTGTTCTCTTAGGCCTTCCTCTACCTCTCTTACTCGGACTCAAAGTTATATGTTCCACTCTTCTCACTGGTGCCTCCCTTGGTCTTCTTTGTATATGCCCAAACCATCTCAACCGATTTTCTACCATTTTTTCCTCAATAGGTGCCACCCTCACTTTTTCACGTATATGCTCATTTCGAATTTTATCTTTACGTGTATGTCCGCACATCCATCGTAACATTCTCATCTCTGCTACTCCAACTTTATGCTCTTGCTGTCCCGTTAGAGCCCAGCATTCACTACTATATAACATTGCCGGTCTGATAGCAGTGCGATAAAACTTTCCTTTAAGTTTATTAGGCACCTTACGGTCACAAATAACTCCTTTAGCTTTTCTCCAATTAAACCACCCAGCTTGAATTCTATGTGAAATATCTCCATTGATTTCGCCATCATTTTGAATAATGGCTCCCAAATATCTAAACTTTTCCACTTAAGGTATAATTTGATCTCCCAATTTCACTTCCAAATTATTTTCGAATAGTCCTTTACCAAATTTACAATATAAATATTCCGTCTTACTTCTACTCAGACGAAAACCTTTCGACTCCAATGTCCTCCTCCATAACTCAAGTTTGCAATTAACCTCTTCTCTTGTCTCTGCTATAAGAACTATATCATCCGCAAAGAGCATACATTTTGGGATTTCCTCTTGAATATGTTTCGTCAAAACATTTAAAATTAAGTTGAACAAATAAGGACTCAGAGATGATCCCTGATGTAGTCCAATCTTTATAGGAAAATCCTTTGTTTGACCACTAGGCATTCTTATACTAGTTTTTACCCCCTCATACATATCTTGTATGGCTTTAATATAAGCAATCCGTACTCCCTTTTTTTCCAATGCTTTCCAAAGCATTTCTCTTGGTATACGGTCATAAGCTTTTTCCAAATCAATAAAAACCATGTGTAGATCTTTATCTTTACAACGATACTTTTCCATTAATCCCTTTAGTAGATAAATCACCTCTGTAATTGACCTACCTGGCATAAAACCAAATTGATTCTCAGAAATACTTGTCTCCAATCTCAACCTGTGCTCAATTACTTTCTCCCACAATTTCATTGTGTGGCTCATGAGTTTAATCCCTCTATAGTTAGTACAATTCTGAATATCTCCTTTATTTTTATAAATAGGAATTAATGTACTTCTCCTCCACTCATCAGGCATTTTCTTGGACCGTAAAATCACATTAAATAACTTAGTTAACTATCTCACCCCTTCTTCACCTAAACATTTCCACGCTTCGATAGATATACAATCAGGTCCGTTAGCTCTACCATTTGTCATTTTCTTAAGAGCTTCCTTTACTTCCTTATCACGTGTTTTTCGATAGAATGATAAATTTTGTTCTCCTTCACCAGTTACTAAATCCTCCAAGTTACTAGATGAATCCTCTCCATCATTGAAAAGTTTAGAAAAATAAGTCTCCCATCTATTTTTAATTTCATCATCTGTAACTAAAATTCTTCCCTCTTCATCCTTAATACACCTTACCTGTTCTAGATCTCTTGATTTTCTTTCCCTACTCTTGGCAATCTTATAAATATTTTGCTCTCCTTCCTTCGTCTCAAGGTTCTTATAAAATTCTTTAAAAGCTTTGGAACGAGCTTCACCCACAGCTCTCTTAGTTTCCTTCTTAGCCATACGGTACCTCTCCCAATTTTCCTCATATAACATACTTAATGTATGTATTAATTTGTTTGTAGAATATTACGGGGTTGCTCAAGCAAGTGATGCATCAAAATCACTTGAAGAGGCCATCAAGAACAGTATAAGGATCAGATACCACAATAAGCATCTCGGATATCTTCTTTAAGCTATAAAGTAAGTGAAATGTATTACTATAAATAAAAAAAATTCTCGTTTATAAACTTTGAATAACCATGTTGATTATATTATCGTATACTACTATTTGTTACAGAGAAGGGGTGAATGTGAAGGGATATTATGCGTGGGCATTCTCTGACAACTTTGAATGGGAACATGGTCAACATTTCAATTTGATTAATGTACGTGGATTGCAGCAACATGAAATGATATCGTAAGTATTCTGCATATTGGCTCAAAATGTTCCTCCTCTGTTGGTTATCTAAATTAGTTTCATTTTTTTTTTGTATGAAAAGTTCTCTAAATTAGTTTCTACTCTTCCTCCTTTGTAGTTTTGATTCCTTACAGCTTTAAATTGTTTAGACTACAGTTTGAAATTTGCTATGCACCTGAGAGAGGGGTTCTTTATCCTTTATACCGCTCTATGCAATCTCTTATCTTTTTGATGTTTTTGCCATTCATTTTTCTTGGTTCCCTAGATAGTAATTCTACTGGGCTATTCTGTTTGAAATATTATTGATGTGTTGATGATCGATTAGAATGGATTAATGGGAACTTTTAGTGGTGACTGATCATGTCTCTCTTGGGTTGTATTTGGAAGACTATGGAAAGCTTAGAGGTTCAATATTAAATTATTTCATGAAAGGTTTATGATTTCAATAATTTGAAACCCGTGAATCACATTGAAATCTAATTTAAAGCAAGACAAGCATAACATAGTAGGCTTTCCCCTCAAATATCATGTTTTTAATTTTAAAAACATTTATAGGTTTGAGCTGAAACCACACACACACACACACACACACACACACACACACACACACACACACACACACATCTCCTAGGTTGAGGCCGCATATCGCTAGCCCATAACTATATTAATTAAAGACACAGAATATAAGTATTGGATTTATAGATCTCTGTGATGATTGGTGAATCTAAGAAAGTGAATGATGAGATCAGCTGTAGCTGGTGCAGACTACACATCCCTATGCACGAGAATAAGTTCAGAATAGATCACAAGCTCTTATATCCTCTATACTCTGTTCTTTTCCTTCATACCTTACGCTACCTGTTACTTCTTTCCATTTCCCTACGTTCTTCTTCTTGCTCTTTTTAAATCTCTCCTATTCTCTTTCTTTTATGTTTTGTTTTCAAGTGTACTTTGTCCATTTCATTCTTTGAATCTATCAAATTTGTAGACCAAATTTATGAGCTGGTTAAGATAGAAATTTAAAACTTATGATGTTATTAAAGTCTCTAAACAATCTGTGTGACGAAAGGAAATGTCAGATATCTCATTTTGGTGTGAAAGTGAGACACCTCTTTCTCTGAACTTCTCTGATAAAGCATATTGACACAAAGTAGTGATATTTAGGATCTGACTTCTTTACTATGTCACTTAAGCATTGGTTTTGCATGAACCTGGATCCCTGTCACAAGCATCTAAATTGGAGGACCATGTTTGGATTGCTTTGCTGGAAACTTTGGACTGTAAGAAATCAGAGGCTATTTGCAAATGCTTCCTTCACTGGACAAGAGCTCGAGAATGAAACCTTAGCATTAGCTTACCATACTCTTAGAATTTTTGATCTAACTGAGGCTTTATCTTCTTAAATTGCTTTCCTGGTTGTTCTGTATAGCTCCTCTGTTTTTGGTCTTTTGACCAGTAACCTCGCTTTTAATTTTTTCGGCTTATTATGTTTTCCTCCCACTCAAAAAAGTAATGGCATTTATTTATATAATAAGAATTACCGTCCCATTCTATGAAATTTCCTGCACACAACTGAGGGTAGGTGGGCTATTATTTTGTTCTTGTTGCAAGCCATTTCATTCTATAGATGATAATCTCTCCTTCCTCTTTAAACTTTCAAACAATAGAATGGCATACAATTTGTAGTTCTGTTCGTTGATTTCATACCTTTGTAAATTCCAGAACACAGCTTTAAGCATTTGTGAGGGTTGAGAAAAGAGGCTGATCAACATCTTGGATCACAACTTGAAGACATTCTGCTAAAGTGTTATTTCATTCTTTAATGCACACTTTACACTTCAACACTTGTATCATTTGTAAATGATCAAGATATTCTTTTAGTAAAGCAAGAAAACTGTTCCATTTTTTTTAATCGTTTATATATCGTTCTTATTTACTCCCTTCATTTCTATATATAAAAGAAAAAAACTGTATCACATGATTTAAAAAAAGTGATTAACTATAATAATTATGTTTGAAAATAAAAAAAATTAAACTAAAATGCCCTGCGTTAATCAATATAAGCATGTATTAATTATTCATCATTAATGTAAATTATAAGGAGTAATTTAAGAAATATATAATAAATACTTATTAAAATGAGTGGTTTTGCTTATACAAAAATATAAATGCAGAATGATAGTTTCTCTAACAATAAAAAATAAAGGAAGTATTTCATAATCCCTTCTCTAAGTTTATATTCAGGTTAGCTGCGTAATAATTATTACATAAATAAGCTGAATTGTGAAGTCTATTTTTATTTCATTGTTATCACCTCTTTGAAAAATGCATGGTTAATGAGTTCGACTTGGTTGATTTCTTTGTAACACGCACTTGATACGAGACAATATGAGACATAGGACACGGACACACGCACACACGTTATATAATCATTAGAAGGGCTGAAAGCCTTTTCTATTTTGTGTACAGAAATCATCATTGGTGGGTATTTTAAGTGATTTGACGTTTTTCTATGTTTTGGTGATCACTACATTTCCTTTTTTTTTTAATTCCAGCCTTCTAATTTTATTTTTCTTTTTAATTGCAAGTAATTTTGATTGGCTGTTAGACTTTCTTTATGTGAAGAATAATGTGGTGTTTTGTGTTCCATTATTAGCTATTTGTCTCTATAATTTTTTCATCCTTCTAAACTTGTTTAGATTTATATTATCTGCTTGATAATTGTTAAATAACTTAATCTAAAACTGTGAGGTCTGTTTCTGTTTCATTGATTCATCTTTTAGTCTGAACTAGGGATAATGAGTTTGACTTAATTGGTACTTGATTTGCTCGTTAGATTTTTGTTATGCACGACATAGTCCTCATTGTTTGATTCTTGTTACATGCCATCATCCTATATTAGAAAAGCTTCATGTCAGTTGCTTGTATCATTTTTTCAAAGCACTAGGTTACTTATTAAAAGAGTACTGAGAGTTACTTGTAATTTGTTGAGTGATTTAAAATCTGATCATCAGGATTTTCTTTTTCCTCTACAGATCATAAGAAAATCAACAGTTGTTTTTCCATGGCTAACAATCCCTCACAGCTTCTTCCATCAGGTTTGCACAATTATGATGGCATTTTCTCGAAACTTCTACTATTTTTTTTTAAAAGAACTATATAAGGTTGAACTCCGTACAAGCAAATATTTGTACCTGAAAATTTGCAGAGTTGATTAACTGTTGTATAGGGTCAAAAAGATGCTACTGAAGTCTGAATAGTAAGACCTACATTGATGGATATTCTTAATGGTTGTTTTTAAAACCTTTTATGATATGTTTGTAGTAATTACATGATAGTCACTTTCCGGATATTTATGCGGTGAGGATGAATTTGTTGTAATTTTTTTAATTTAGGTAATAATTAGAATTTATAAAATTTATTATTTAACATGTTCGATGGTCACTTTCCACCCTCAAGGGAAAAGCATCATAGCTAGTCTCTGTATACACCCACGTAAATGTTGGATGGCTGTAAATTATATTAGTACATGTCTAATTTGGATAAACAGGTTCCTAGACTTGTAAATAATTTTTTTTTTTCTTTCAGGTGTACCTCGAATTTGGGATGGCAATTCCAAAGATTTGTGTTCATGGAATGATATCTTCAATTAAAGAGCTATCAGAGCTAGCTCCAATAATTAAAGAGACACTATACACAACCATAATTTGAGAGCAATCATAATATGAAAGTATGTATAGAAAATAAGAATTTCCATGAACTAGTAGGAAGCATTTATTCGTTATACTCCATTTGCTGAAATATTTTACTTAGGTTGGTTAGCATCATTAACATTTTACTAGTGATGTTTAGCACTGATTGCTATGCATTTCCTGAAATTATGGATTTTGAATATTGTGAATTTTATTGAAATTATGTAATGATTAGAATTTATGAATTTTATTATTTATTATGATATTTGTTAGAATATATGTAATAATAAAAAAGGGGGCATTTTTTTTAGATTAAAGTGATTTAGTGATTTAAATAATCTCTAATCCAAAAAGCACCATTTTTTATTTAAATGTCACTTTTTACATCTGTTGGAGAGACAATAAATGTAGAAAGTTTACTTTTTACATCAATTTTAGCTACAACCAATGTAAAAAGTGAACTTTCTACTTTGTTCTAATTGCAACTAGTGTAAAATTGATGTAAAATGTCAATTTCAATTGATATAAAAAGTTATTTTTTATAATAATGTTGTGTCTTGTCACCTATCATATGGTGCCTCCTCACCCATTATGTATGCAATGATCTTTGTCATTAGTCATACTAAAAGCCAACCAATAAAGCCAATTAATTTAAACAAGAGACTAAGCACAGGAAGGTAGGATTAACCTTGACGAATAGCACTTTTATAAAACACTTTGAGTAAACAGGATCCTAAAGTAAATTTAAATATGAAAACTATGTCCAGAACCTTGGAAAATATTTCAAATCAAAGTAAGGAAGGTTGTGGAAACATGGAAAATAGTGTGAGCATTATAAACAAGTCAATTAGGGGGTAAAAAGAGTCATTTTTCTATAATAGAGTAATGCATCATGACTTGTGGTATAGAGATTATTCGCTGTGGCAAAAGGCACTGTTCATCAAGGCCAACTATACAGAGGCCTTTTTGTCGCTACCAAACCTCTTATTTGTCATGAATGACACTCTATTATGTTATCCATCATGGCCAATAGTCATATCAGTACAAAATGACAACACATATAAACTAACTTTTGAAGCACCTAATTTTCTAGTTCAGACCTGCGCAAACTATTAAATACTCTAACTAATGGCTCTAGTCTCACCTTGATGACTCTCTATATTTTTGTATATTTTGAAGAGTTTTATTAATCTTTTAGAGAGTCATCTAGTTATTTTTTGTTTATTTGTCTTGTGTTTAGTGTTTATTTTGGTGTTAGTCAACTTGTCTTGTAAATTTTGTGTTTTGATTTTTTTTAGAGTATTTTCTTTTGTTAATTTGAGTCATTTTGAATTTTAAAAAACTCTACAAGAGTTTAAAAGAGGTAAAGAAGCAAAATATAATGAATTTAATGAGGAAATTGAATTGTTATGATCACTTGCCATAGCAGCTGCCATAGTGGGTCAGTATTATAACTTATAAGGTAAATTCTGAACCAGAACTTGCTACAGTGGGCGCTATAGCGAGTTTCGTACTAGAAACGCACAACATCAGTTTTTTTTGATAAAAGAAATTGAACTTTGACATAGGCCAAGTGGGTAAGAAAAGGTTAATGCAATTAAATGAGCTAGATGAGTTTAGGTTGCAAGCTTATGAGAGTTTTAGGATTTATAAGAAAAGGGCCAAGAAGTTTCATAATAAACATATTTTGCCTAGACAATTTGAACCTGGACGGTTGGTGTTGCTATATAATTCTCAAATGAAGTTATTTCCAGGTAAATTAAGATCTAGATGATTTGGTCCATTCAAAGTTGTTCTGTTTCACCCTTTGGAGCCATTGAAATCATGGAAGAGAATTCAAGAAGAGCTTTTAAAGTCAATGGATAGTGCCTAAAGCTTTACCATGGTGGTGATATTGACCATATGAAGGTGTTTGTTTAGCTTTTAGATCCTCCATAACCCTTTGAGATAGTCTAGTTAAGGACTATAAACTGCACTTTTTGGGAGGTAACATAAGTTTTTCCCTTTTATTTCCTTATTTGCATTATTTAGATTTTTGTTTGTCTTTTAGATTTTTGTTTGTGTGTTTTTTGTAGGTTAGTTGACTTTGGGCTATGTTTGGAACAATGGAGCAATAATATAGAGTCATATTGAACTTAAAAAGAACAAGGGAGTTTTCTGAACTTGGAGCTTTAATTTAAATGCTTTTATGGTGTCTTGAATTATTTTTGGCGTTAACATTGATTAAATGATTGAAAATTATGCATTTGAGTGACTATAAGCATTTTTATTTTTACATAGAATTTAATTTTTTGAAATAGGGAAACTGCTGTAGCCGAGGTTGTAGTGAGTAAGCATTTTGATCACTCAAGCTCTTTTAGAAATCATACTCTCTATGGCACCCGTTGTAGCGGGTCATGCTTCTAGTTTTCTTAACTTCCAAAAGAACAAGAGCTTTTCTTTGTAAATATTTAGATTTATTATAATAGTATTTTTTTAAAAAACCAACTAAATAATATTTTTGTAAATATTTTGTTATTTTATTTTTTTATTATTGTTTTCTCTATCTTTCTTCCTTTCTATTTGTCCGATTTTTGACATACATACATACGCACGCACGCATGCGCGCACACACATGTATAGTTTTCATTTTTTTTTATTTTATTGCTTTTGAATAAAAAAAAAACTACTAGAAATTTCAGCTTTCTCGTGCAAAACGCATGCCCTAAAACAATTTGAATTGGTTATCCTCTCTCTCTTGCCCTGACAGTCACCTCACCCGCGCCTCCACTGGCAGCTCTGTCTCGCCCCAGCCTCCGCCTCTTTCCAACTCTTTCCCTTGCATTCACCCAGCCTCCGCCGTCCATCTTTCCTCCATTGTGTTTGTGAGCTTCACACCGCCGTGCCTTCTCTTTGCATCTCCTCCACCGAGTTCCACGCCATCGTCAACACTGCTCGCGCCTCCATATCTCCCTCACTTACCTTCCTCCGCCGTCGCAAGTTTCTCCCCTCTTCAGTCCGCCTGAGTTCAGCTCGTGGTGTCATCGACCACCGTAACCAATACCTGTGTCTCAGCCTCTTCCCAGCTATTTCTCCAGCTTCCGTACCTCAGCTTTACTGTGCTCCGTTTTCATCTCCAGTGTTCTTCGGCGTGCTCCT